TTCTTCCCAGGAATATTTACCTGAAAAACCAAGAATTGCTTATAAAAAGTTCAGCAAGAGTTTAACTTATAAATAAGCCTTAATAAATTAGAAATAGCCTATACTTAGCAATCATATCCTAAACATACTCAAAACAATTTTTTTTTAATAATCAAACCAACAAGAAACAGAGAATTAAAGGTCAAAATAGTAAGCAAAGTCTATATTCTATAACGAACCAGAAACATATTTCAACATTGTTCTATTGATTATTTTTTACATTTTTAACCATAAACAACATGTATTTGGCATAAGTGAACCCATCCAACCATTAGTAATGGTCTTTTGGTATCTTTACTTGAGTCATAATGGTGAATGATAGTGTAGGTGTGTATATAAAAATGGATAAAGAGGTGGTAATAATGGTGGGGACAGGTGGTTGAAGGACTGATGTCTCTTTCTTATTTTTTTTTGTTTCTGTCTTTATCATAAGTTTTTAAAAGGTAATAGGAATGAGAACATGAGCAAAACCATTATCACCTATTAATGTCGAAGAATGAATCCAAACCATTTGTTTCCTTAAACACCTAAATTTATATTTTCCTTCTCAAATTATTTTTTTCTTATCAACAAGGTCTTTTTCATTTGTCAAATTTGAACTGTCAATTCTCCAACCTTATATATTTTGATCATTCCCAACTATTTTTTGATAATTTTCTAGGTATGCTTCATGTTCTTCCCATTAATATATATTTTCTAATTTCTTTTCAATTTTTTATATTTTCATTTTTTCTAATTGTTTATGTAGGGCCTAAAAAATAGGTAACAACTTTAAACATTTGATATTTTGAACCAATGTTACACATATTACAAATTCACTATAATGTTTATCTTGAACATATATGTTTTTCATGATTTTCTATGCCATAAATCCTTTTTTAATTGATGTTGCGATCATATCTCCATGATTCTCTTGTTTTGATTTGTATATCCATTTTCATGTATAGCAATATTTATATTGTAATCTCTATTTAAAATGAATGTAACATGAAAGAATAAAGAGGTTAACTTTTTTATATGATATTAGAGGTACTAGAGGTACAAAAAATGAGGTTTTCTACCTCTTCAATCCTACCTTTATTCATTTTTTATTTTCTTGAATTTTCATCTTTAATGCCTATTCACATAATATCTCTATTAAGTTAATCTCCAACAATTATTTTTTATTGAAAGCAAATGTCATTTCATTTTTGTATGGTGATGGCCTTCTCAATTACATGTAAAAATAAGTTTCATATCTATCACTAACTATCATCGGTTAGGATGATATGTTACAAATCAACCCAATGAAAACTACCTGGCTGCATATTGACCAACTAATTCTTGAATGGATCAATAGATCTCTGTTTGATAGTACCTTATCCTAAGTCATTAACAATGAAGCCTCTCATGAAGCTTGGTAGTTTCAGAGACTTTTCATGCCAATCATATTTGGGATTGTATTTAACATATGAAAATCAAGTTATAGTTTCTTAATAAAGGCATTTTCTCTTTGAAGAACTATATGTAAAAGCCAACTCTTTAGTGTTGTCGTTTTGTGGTATAAAGAAGCTAATAAATGAATATTAGTTCATCATTTGTGTTATACGAGGCGTAGGATCCTATAGTATTGACTTTCAATGTTTATGATACTTTTTTATTGGTTTAGCAAACTTTATGATTTCAAAATAAGACTTCATAATAGCATGATCAACCTCTTCTAATGTTGCATTTTAAAGAAATCATGGTAGAACCAAAACAAGACCTCATGAACAATCATCTGCCCAACTCTTAATAAAAAAACAAAGATGCTCAGCAGGTCATTTTAAAAATAAACCATAACTATTATAAAATTGTGATGAATATAAAAACAATCTTAAAAATGGTGACATTTATTTTCTTTATGCATGGAGGCTCAAACCATAAAGCAAATGGATGTTATAACAATATAAAACTTTTTCTATGACTCGTAAATTTGATGTAGCTACCATTTTTTCTTTTACAAAGCCCATATACTATTAGCTCACTATTTATGTTAAAATAATTTAAAGTGATGGTAATGGTGAATTTGTTAACAAAATCTTGCAAACTTATTTTCTAGCTTATGACATTATTAACAAATTATCATGTTAAAGGACACCAAAGCAAACACATTTGTAGAATATTAACACTGACACATTATGAAAACCATTTTAATGTTAATAGCGCATACCTTTGTTCCTATCAAATTTTAGACAATATAATTTACCACTATAATATTCATTATCAATTAGTAGCCTACTTCTAGTCTTGGTTACAATTCATCTCATGAGCTTGTTTTTTAGTCCCTTTCATCTTATAGTCTTTTATAAGTTTTTAAATGTGTATGTTATTCATGCCTTACACCATTTCATATGTCAAAACTAAAGTATAAATCTATATGATATGTGTTTTTGGAATGCTTTAATCAACATAAAAGGTATTAATACTTTGATATATGACACAACTAAAAGATTGATGTCTTCTCCCAAATGTAGAAGTCTTGAAGTAATAAATAATCTAGCAAAACAGAGATCGAACCACAGGAGGTTAACTATATAATAATAATAATGAGTTAAAGAGAATGAGATTGATATGAGGATTAAACAATGATAAAAATAAATGTCAAGGTTAAAGGATCCACTAATGGTATTTCAAATAAGTATAACATAAACTTTTTTATTACTCAACTGGAAACCACACACAAAAAAGGTTCCAATCGGATGATTTGTGATTAATAACTCATTATAAATTATTAACATGATTATATTAGTTATCTTATTTAAGTAACACCAATATTTTTAAATATTTTCAAGTATTCATGATGCTAACTTGTGTTGACAACAAATCAAGTTCCTTTCATAGCACATATATCGGTTATACTATACAGTTAGCTATGAAGGATCAAGCATTTATTGTACGAAGTATTATACAACACAAATCTAGATTAACCATTTAACAAGTAAAGTATTAAGAATTAATAAGATAAAAATGATAAGACATGTTAATAGCAAACTTTCTTGGATGTAATCATTGAAATCCATATTGAGTTTATATTATATATATCCTAACACCATTAGTGAAACCTTTTCACCTTAACATATTAAACTTAGCTAAACATTATAAAGAAGAGAAATATAAATAAATAAGATGAGAACATAATTATATAACTATAATAAAGAAAATAAAAGACATAAACAAGATATTAATGAAACTATAACATGAAATAAAACTAGAATAGTAAAACTACAAAGAAAGAAAATAAGAAAATGATCTTGATTTGAAAACCAAGATGTCTAAATGTATGACAAATGCCTTCTTTTATAGGTTAAATTTTAAAACTATTGATTTGATGACTAACTATTGAGTGGGTGACCACCTTTTGACTTAGTGGCAACCCTTATCTTCTTGTCTGAACAAAACATCATTGCTAACATCAGAATTTGAATAGATATTCATCATGAAAGTTCTAGGATTTGTCTCAGCTTTCCAAAAAGAAGAAGCTCATTTAGACTTCTAAAACTCGAGATATGGGCTAAATATTAAACAGTATCTGGGCTACAAGATAGATTCACACTTTTCTTGTGATGCTAAGATTTGGACTTCTAAATGGAAGAATTGAGTTTTATACTCTCATAAATATTTTAGGCCCATGTCTTAGTTTTCTAGCATATCAACCAAATTGAAATCCAAGATCTACAACTCTAGATATGACTCAATAACTGAATGTTATTCCAGTTTGAATTAATCAGCATCTCTTTTCTCAACTTAGCCCTTTTTTTGTCCTTTTACTTTTAATAGTTAAACAAATAAATCAATCTTTTAAATTATAAAACATGCCTGCATTTTAAATGAACATTTACCATAAATTAAAGATATCTTTTATTATCAGACTTGTTATTGTAAAACATGATTAAGTTAGGGAATTTAATGATACTTTAAGTGCAATATGATGGCATAAAACCTTGATAAAAATATACTTTTAAGTATTAATCAATATATATATGAGCCACATCTATATCTATTAGCTTATAAAATTTAATAACCTTATATTTTCATTTCTGTGTCTATGAGGCTCTATTAGATTTAAAGTTCATGAACTTTCCTAGCCCCTTTAGATTGTTATTTCACAATATTTTCCTTTAAATTTTCTATATGTAACTAATCATATCCCGTTAATTAACCATTTGTATCCTTGTAGTTCTACAATGGTTTAGTGTCTACCATGCTAGGATCCTCCAACTATGATTTAGGACGCATCAATATTGTGCTCTTTAAAGATGGATTGAGCTTATCTCACCATATGTTTTGTATGGAACTTATCATATGATCTAACCAACTCACACATACATATTAAAAAACAAGATCCCTTGTTTTTTAAGATACCTAATACATACTTACTTTATCACTAATCTTGCAAACCAACTGTAAGCACCTCAAATGTATAAGAAAGTTCTAGTTGATTTAAAATGAAAGCAAGCCATACAAGAAGAAATTGATGCTTTTTATAACAACCATACATGGATTTTTATAACTAGAAAACCAAACATGAATTTCATTAATAGTAAATAGGTGTTTAGAATTATATCATGATTGATGGTTCAACTGAAAGGTATAAAGCTGTATTATTTTCTTGTGCTTTCACATAACTTCCTGGTTTGGACTATGATGAAACATTTAATCTAATAGTTAAACCTAATAATATTAGATTGATTCTTATGCTTGGTTTCTCATAAGGATAGTCTATTAAGTAATTTGATAATTTGATGTAAGCAATACCTTTTCTTTATGATGACTGAGAGTATGTCTACTAATCTCAAACACCTAGTTTTGAGGACTCCTCTAACCCTCGTCATGTCAACCACTTTTATAAAGCTCTCTATAGAGTAAAACAAGCAACTTAAGCTTGGTACAAGAAGTTTAATAATTATATTCAACAAATAGGTTTTCAAAGATATCCCTATAATCAATCATTGTTTTATTAATGTCAAGGCTTAAATATTCTTTTAATTTTAATTTATGTCAATGATATCTTTCTAATCAAGATCTCAAATTCATATGTCAACAAATTTATTTCTCATTTTTCTATGACATTTCGTATAAAAGATCTTATTGATGTTCATTTCTTTATAGGGCTTCAAATTCCTCGTGATGACTCGATAATTAACATCACCTAAACATGTTGTTTATTACCTCTTCTTCATAAATTTGGTCTACATAGTGCTAAACATGTATCATTATGTTGGATTTTGATACTTCGTTAATCGATATTGACAATGATCTCCTATCTGACCCTATATTTTTTTAGTGTCTTGTTAATTCTTTAAAATATCTAACCTTGATATGACCTAATATTTCTTTTATTGTTCATCATGTTTATTAATTCATATAAGTCCTTGTGACGCTCACTTTTGTTAAACATATTTTTTGATATCTCAAAGGCATTATTAACCCTAATTTTAATTTTTTTCGAGCTTCTCTCATTGCATTTCATGGTTTCTATGATGTAGGTTAAGCAAGTGGTAGGGATGACCAACATTCCTCCACTAGGTATGCTATTTATATAGATGATAACTCGTTATTTTGGGGATCAAAAAGCAATTCATTATGTCTTATTCCATAATTGAGGCAGAGTATCGCAAGTTAGCAATAACCACCATAGAACTTTTGTGATTTATGCACCTTCTGAAAAGCATTGGTTAACGCTTTCCTCTACTCTATGTTGGGATAATATCAATGCTATCAACATAGGCAAAAACCCCATTTATCATCATCGCACTAAAAATATTGAGATTGATGTTCATTTTGTTCGGAAATAAATAGCTCCTGCCATTTAAAATCATTAAGTTCTCTCAAGCTTATTCCTAATCATAACAAGTTCTTTATCGATCCAATCCTAACTTAAGCTTGAGAGGGGGGAGGGGTGAAGAGATATACTTTCTATAATGTTGTGATCATATTTTCATGATTCTTTCTTTCATAATCTTCTCTCCGTAATATTATGATCATATTTTTATTATCTTTTATATTAGTTTTTATGTATAATAGTAGACAACCATAATGTTGTAATGTCTATTCAAGATTAATGTAATATAAAATAATAAATAGATATACTTTCTCTTAAATGTATTTTAGGATGATGCCTTGTGTCTTTGGAATATAAAGTATGAAAACATTAAAATTACTATATAATTTTCCTTTTAAAGTGAAAAATATGTTTCTTGTTTAAGATTGCAAGTGTACAAACGTATCATAAGTGAACAAATCATTTTAAATCTATAACTTTATGTTTATATGAGATGACGAAGCAAACTTGATGAACTTTGGACAAAGATTCTTTGAATAGGAAAAAAAAATACTTAGTTATGGGTTCAAAGAAAAAACGTTAGGCATTTCAAGGGAAAATGGCTCAATTTGTTCGACCTTAATCATCATTAGAGAGGGATACTTTATATATATATATATATATATATATATATATAATTATACCAATTTAATCTCTGAGTAAATAATATTTATCTAATATATTATTTCATTTATTTTTTAAAGTTATATTATCAAAAAAATTACATAACTTTCATGTAATATATTTTGATTTCTAAAATTCTCCTTACTATAAATAAAATAAGTTCTTTATTTATTTTTATATTTTAAAAGATGTCTTTAAGTTTTAGTTAGATCTTCAGTCAATTCATCTACAATAATGTGCTCAGAAAATTAACAAAAAACTATGTAATTTAATTATATATGATCTATAAATTCATGTTTTAAAACTAGACTTTTCTCCTTTGAATATCTTAGAAAAGCAAAACATATACGCAATTGATTCTTTAATATATATATATATATATGTGTGTGTGTGTGTGTGTGTGTGTGAGCGCGCGCACGGCTAACATACATGATTAAAATAATAATTTAATCATAATAATATATACTTGTTCTATGTTTTAAGATATTGTAGGGTATAGGCCTGTAATAAAAAACTAACTAAATTTTGCGAGAATTGCTGAGGACTTATAAGCTACTTTTTTATAATAAACTATTCTTTCTCAATATCTCAACTTAAAATTAAAAATAGAACATATACAAATTATACATGTGGATTTAGTGGAAATAAATTTTAAAATATAGGGAAAAATAAATTATTTATTCTATCTAAAGTAAAGGACATTTTAGACGTTAAATATATATGTTCAAGTTAGATGACTCTTTTTTATTATTATTATTAATTTGGATAAAAAAAATAGATGGAATAAATAATTGAAAAAAAAATTCTTCGCTTAAAAACTAAATTAACACAATTAAAAACATAGGAATATATTAAAAATTAGTTCATTATACAAGTTATGAGTAGTATCTAGTCATTTTATGTTCAAATCGCATGAATTTTTTTATTAATTTGGATAAAAAATAGATGTAATAAATAATAACAAAAATTCTTCTGTTAAAATTAAGTTAAGACAATTAAAAATATAATAATATATTAAAAATTACTTCATTATACAAGTAGTATCGAGTCCTTTCCCTATTTATAGATTAAGAACACAAGGCATAAATTATACGTGGCCATAATGGCCATCCAAGTCACCAAGCATAAAATGTGAGATATAAGTGTGTTAGAGCTATGAGACTAGATTTGAAAATTAAATTAAATATTGTTACTTGGAACTATATAATATAAAAAAAATGGTTTTTTTTGAATTAGTAAAGGTAATGCATACTCACTAGAATTGTAAGGTGGTGTTCGGAAACGTAATTTTTTTATTTAAGATTAATTTTTTATATATTTTTAGATTGTTCTGATGAGATGATGTTAAAAATAATTTTTTAAAATAAAAAAATATTATTTTAATGTATTGAAGAGTAAAAAGCATTTTGAGCTGCAATTATTACTACATTATCAAACACCTCTTAAATCAACTATCATTCACATCCTTTTCCTTGAAAAGTTTCTGATCGAGACCTTTATGTGTGTGTAAAGAAAAGATAAAAAAAAGAAATATACAATGAATTATTATAGACAATACTAAAATGACGTGTTTTCATTGTAGCAATTTATAATGATTTTTTTATATATAATTTAGTTCTTAAAATTTTTCCTCTTAAATTCTATTCTTTTTACCATAGTCATGACCAATTTATCAATAATTGTTAAGGAGTAACAAGAATGAAAAAGAAGGGACCAAAGTGTAAAACAAGAAAAAGGGTGGCAATTTAAAAAATGGGGTAAAAATTATATTTTTTTTACTTTTACCTTTTCAATTATAACTTTTTGGTTTTTCAATATTTCTAAAATTCTATTATGGTATAAAACTTCAATCTTCTTACTTTTTGGTCAATTGTTTGAAAAATAAGATAAGAGAAAATTGTTGGATTTTGATGGCAGGGAAAGAAAGTCTTGGTTTATACTAATTTAGCCCATAAAAATGATTAGTTTTGGTGTTAATAGGTTCTATTTAATTAGGGGACTCTTTCCTACGTGTTTCTTTTACCGTTCTATCACTTAAGATAGTAAATCTGAACTTGATAATATTTTTTGTTTTAGTTTGATTTGAATTTTTTTGACTGGTTTTCATATTATTTGAGATCATAAATAGGTTTGTCAAGGTATGTAAAATATTTTATGAATGTATTAGGTGATAATTGAGTTCTTATGTAAAAAAATTCACAATTCTCAATTTTTTAGCCGTCAAAGTGGAAGAGTAAGCGACACATCTTTTGCCATAGCAGGTGACATGTCGCCTACAAAAAAAAGTAAGTCGTGCACCTAGGTTTTTTTCTAGGGTCTATTAATTTTTCCATGTTCTCTCTCTTTTTTTACCCTTATAATTTTATCCTTTTGTTTTGGGTTTTTATTTTTATTGTTTTAGTTTTTCTATTTTTTTATGAATTTTTTTAATAATAAAATATGATTTAATATTTTAGTTCATTTATGATTATGCTTTCAAAAAATTTCATCATCTTAAGAAATATTCTTTTTGTGCAATCCTACTTAATTGTTTTTCTCCTTAATTTTATTAAATCGCTTTTTTATGTATGTTTTGTGTGTTTTTTTAATTGTTGTTTAATTAAATAAAAAATTAATTCTAAGAATAATATTATTAAATACAATTACATATATCGTCTATGTATCAAGATCATATTTCTACTTCCATATCATATTTTTTGGTTAAATATCATTTGGTTTTTACTTCATTTTCATGTAAAATGATAGCTTTTTTTTTTTATTGTTATTAACATATGCATCCTTACATATTTTTTTTCTTTTGATTTTATTTAATTAATTTCATGTGTGTCTATTTTTATTATTATTTAATTAAATAAAACATTTATTCTAATAAACAAGTCATTAATACAAAGAGTTATGTAAGTGATCAATTTTAAAAGATTAAATATATTTATCTTTATTTATCTCTCAATTCTTTCAGTTTAGTCTTTTATTATCATTAATAATTTTTTTATTTATTGACACAAAAGATTCTCCAATTTATTTAATTAAATATTTGTATAAGTTTTTAATTTATGCTTATAATTTTTATGTCAAAAACAAATTGAAAAATCCTATATATTTATTTAAAAAAAAAACAATTATCTAATCTAAGATGAATCACGAATCACAAAAATAATCCATATACTATAACATTGTCACATGTTCATACTATTGTTTTAAAATCTAAAATGACAAGGGAGGTCAAATAAGAACTCTTTAGTTCAGGTTGAATTAAAAAAAAAAAAAACTTCTCTAATCCAATTAAAAAAAAGGATTGATAAAGAATTTAGACATCTCTATATAAAAATCTCGAGTTTAATTCCACAAGAATGAAAACGAAGCAAAATAAGATGCATGCGAAAACACTAGCAATAAAAGGACAACATACGCTAGATTTGATAGAATCAAAAAGCAATTATGTAATGAAAGAGAAAAGGTCGCAGGATTTCATGTTCGATTGTATTCTGACATTCAATTGCAGCTTTTGTGCCTAGAATTTTCAATAATATTATTCAATACAGCAATGATTCCTACTCTCTGCCAATTAGTTGTCTAGAGAAGGAGGTGTGGAACCCAGCTGTGGAGGCCAATACGGAGGAACTTTGTCTTGAGCCTAGGAACAACTTTCTTTGGCACCCGTACACATGCATCAAGCCTTTTGCGCACCTCCCCTATAATTCATTCTCGTGTTGTTCCTCGGCCCTTTTCTGGCTACAAATCCTGCAAGTGATCTAAGGCCTGGATGCGAGAATTGCTGCCTTAGCTTCCATTCTCCTGCAAGTTCCAACGCTATATCTTCATGTATTCTTTTCCCATTTTTGGTTAAGTCATGCATTTTAATCCTGAGATGTTTTGCTGATTAGTGGGTTCTTCCTTTGCCAATTGTAAGGTCCAAGAGCAAATCATGCAATTAGAGGAACGCAACAAAGACAAAGCCACTATGAAGAAGCAAGATGTAGGCCATTTCTCTTTAAAGTAGAGTGCTTTTACATTCGGAGTGCCATTCTTTCTGGCCACAAAAGAGCTCCATGACAACCCCATCAAAACAACGAAAAAAAAGGCGACACAAAATTCCAACTATTTATATCCTCCCCAAAAAGCAACTAAAAATTCAAAAGAAATCTAATAAAGCCAAGCACCATGCTACCATCTCAAATCTCACCCTCTGCCAAGCACCATGCTACCATGCTACCATCTCAAATCTCACCCTCTCCTTCAAACATCATCTACCATGTTACCATTAACATTCATTAACAACCCTTTACTCTCCTCTTCGTATTCTTCATGTTGTTTGCGACCAACACCATTGCATGCACTCATTTCCATGCTGGTCAACTCCTTGGCCTTCAGAGCCTCATGTTCCCAATCTGTACGGATCAACACAACATAAAGGATAGACAAAGCACAAGCCGCTTGGGCTGACAAGAGCCCTAGCCACAGTCCAGAAAACCCGACATCTAGCCCGAAGGCCAGCCCCACTGCCACTGGGGTGCCCACAAAGTAAAATGAACCCAAATTTATACCAGCCCCGACAGCGGGCCGTGCCGTGGCACGTAGGATGCCACAGCCAGTTGTTTGGGGGCAGTTGCCAAGCTCACAGAGGCCTATTATTGGCAAAACAGCTGCTACAAGACCTTTAACACGCACATCTTTAATGAACAAGCCAGCCCATCGCTGTCTAAGGAATACTGTCCATGTCACATTGAGAATACCAATCACGAAGGCACAACCCAGTGCAACCATGGCGGCCAACTTTGCTTTGTACGGCTTTCCGGCTCCAAGTTCATTCCCTACCTGCAGTATATCCCAACAGATACGTGTAGATATTTGTGAGCTTTAACCCAAGAAAAAGGAAGAGGGGGGAAATGATAATCCAGGGAAAGAGGCCACTTGGTTCACTTTTGCTGGTTATACCATGTCGTCACACGCCAATGGAATTTGAGATTTGATAGAAAGTAAGCAAAAGCAAAGCTTGTCATGTACTAATTTTGTGCAATCACACTAGGCGTATGATCCAAGATGGGTCCTCCAAAATGATGCAATCACCTAACAAATAAATAGAGCATGCTAAGAAGCTTTTATACTGTTTCATCAACATGTTTGATACCAATCTTTTCACAAGCTGTTCCTCATGCACAAAAGAAAATCCTCACCATATCAAAGTAAGAATCTCAACATCACACTATTTACGTAAACATTCTTTAGATCAAAGTAACCTAAGTTGTGTATGAAGTAGCAGTAACCTATGTTGGATAATGGGTTAAATGCTCAACACACCAAGCCAAGGCAGTTCCCGTTCTAAGGGCTCCCCCCTTCCTAGGTCAGAAATCTCTCAGCATGCAACAATCATTCTTTCAACCGCCGAACCACTTGGTTAAGAAATAAATGGGCCATATTTGACTTCCTGAGGAGTAACATCGCAGCTAAAAATAAACACAATTACGGGCTGAATAGAAAGAATCTATGTTATAGTGACCCATCAACATGTATGCACATAAATATATGTACATAAGTAACAATCCTAGATTATTTGTTATGAAAAGTGGGAAGTTAGTTTTTGGAATTACCCGAGCAGAGACACAGCCAGCAAGTGCCATGGGGACAGTGTACATCATGCTAGTGGTCTGGATTAGTATCCCAGTGGCGGCCACCGCCAGTGTGGGATTAGGCAAGTACCCTGCTAAGAGAGTCACTATCTCATACCACCACCACTCCAAGCAAATCCCTAAACAACTAGGGACTGCCAACTTCAAGAGTGGTCCCACCCCACCACACACACCTCCAATCTCGACCCTCCATTTCATCTCCCACTGTCCACTAACCCACCACACATACGCCACCATCAACGCCACCATGTTCATGTTAGTCACGGCTGATGCCAAAGCCACCCCAGGGACCCCCCACCCCATCACCACAACAAGAACATAGTTCAACGGCACGTGGAAAATAACGGCCAATAAGGAGCAATACATCATGGGTTTTGTCACCCCCTGTGACCTTAAGAAAACCCTCAAGGGCTGTAATAAAGTGTTGGTTAAAAGGTCTGGGAGAGAGTAAATACAGTAAGTTGCAGCCATTGCAGTAATATTTGGATCTTGGCCCATAAAATTCATGATTGATTCAAGATTAAGCCACAAGAGACTTATGGGTATGATTGCAATGCCTAGTATCAAGATCATGCGTTGAAGAGAGAGTGAAAGGAGGTCCCAATTCTTGCTGCCATAAGCTTGGCTACAGACTGGCTCTAGCCCAGAAGCTAAGCCCACAAGGACAGAGTAACCAGTGATGTTTGTAAACCCAATGGAAAGTGCACCACCAGCTAGTTCTAGACTGCCTAGCCTGCCCAAGAACATAACTGAGACCACTGCTCTAAAGAAGGCCATTAAGTGTGCAGCTGTTATTGGCAAAGCCATGCCCCATAACTCTTTTAGCTCCTCAACAACCTGTTAAACCCAAGAAAACATTTATATCAACATCAATATCAGACAAGAACATGTTCTAAAGTGAAAAGAGTTTTCCGGCGTTACCTGAGAAGCAGAGGGAAGTTTGTGAGAATAGAAATCCAGTTCTTTCTCTTCCATCTTTGTTGTTGTTTCTAAACTAGCATGTAAACTAGAAACAAATAAATAAAACGAAGTTGCTTATTTTGATCAAGACTATATCAAGAAAGTAAGCTCAAATGATATGAAATACGCACAGAACTTTCTTCAAAGGTTGAAAGGGAGTGATGATCCGAGCTTCTGTTTTTTGTGATTGATTAGAACAAGAAATGAAGGAGAAATCAAAGATTGTAGACAAACCCCACTTAACTCTGTCTCCTAATGGAGGAAGAAAATATAATGTATGAAAGCATGTAGTAGAAGAGGAACAGAGGCATTAAATAGGAGAGTAGCAACATAAAGATGGTTGACAGGCATAAGTATCTGTGTTTTCTGTGTGGGTGTGTTCAAGAGTCAAAGACTAGGGCAAGTACAAAAGTATGCTTTGGTTTGCTTTATAATATTGCAACAATATTTTCTTGGAGTCTTTGGTTTCCAAGCACATAGGGTAGTATTTATTACATAGAAGGACAAGAAAAGAGCAGTAGCTACTAATGGCGGCTAGAATCAGCAGAGAGAAAAGGAGAAGAAAATGAAAGGAAAGGTCAGTATCATAGAGAGACAGAGATAGGGGGGAGAGAGAGGCAGAGACGGTGTGTTTTTAAAGATTTTATTGCTGCATAAAAGGAAAGTCTTTGGGATTAAATGGAGAGAGGGAAAGTGGACACGGTCCGTTTTGGGCACCTTTCTTGGCCTAATTAAACTTTTTAATCTTTTTTTGTGTTAATTTCTTATATTCATAATGAAATTACTAATAGTAATTTAATAATACTTAAAAGTGTAATAATAGTTTTTTTAAAAACAATTTATATTGAAATGTATAAAAAAATATACTTTTGATATTAATACATCAAAATTATTTAAAAATATTAATTTTAAAAAAATATTTATACAAAAATACTTTTAAAATATAAAAATAAACAGACAATAAAAATCTAATTCTAAGATATTATTCATCGTTAATAGTTTCTTGATTTTCTAAATTCAAACATTGAGACTAGTATTAATAAATGTTTATTAATTCTTTTTTTTTTTTTGAATTCATTGTGCTAAGGTGAGGGTGCCCTCTTACAAGAATATCTTGAATAAAAAAAGAGAGTAAATTCTATCAATATTTTGTTCAATATAATATTTATCTGATTTTTCTAATATTTGTTAAGATGTGCCCTACAGGCGTTAATTGATGTAATTGACCTGTTCTCATTATTATATAAGTGAAACTTTCCAAGTGTATTAAGTTTTTAGAAAAATCGTGGGTTTAAATAACGATGCGACTTAATTAAAGTGTATTCCATTAACGTGTTGTTGCGTTTAATACATTAGTCAACTATTTTTTTATAATATTTATATTTTATAAAAATATTAAATAAACCTTAAAAGTCATTTTAGTAAATTTTGCTTGGAGGAGCATTTTAATCATTTTATTATTTTGAAAAAAGTGAAAAAAATTAAAAAGCTCTAGGAAGCTAATTTTTTTAAATTGTTTTTAATGGTAATTAAATCATTTTATCATACTTAAAAAATTAAAAAAATAATTTAATAATATCAAATAAACCTTAGAATAATATAAATCATATCTTGAAATCTCTCTTGTGAATGTTAAAAAATAATATAAATCATATCTTGAGATCTCATCTAATAGCTTAAACTAGTGGGTTGAGATAACTTTTTAATATGATATTAGAACTTTAATGATGAAGCGGTTACGAGTTCGAATTTTATTATTTTTATTTATTTAATAAAAATTAATGAATTTGTATAAGTTTCAAGTTCAAAGGTTTTTTATTTGAAAAAAATATATTAAAGAATAATATAAATTATATTTTAAAATTTTTAGTTTAAATAAATTATTAGGTTGAGATGATAATTTTTTAATAGTGAAAACATCATTTTATCCTTTATAATTTAAATAAATTATTAGGTTGAGATGATGATTTCTTAATAGTGAAAACATCATTTTATCCTTTACTTTCACTTCATTCACTTCATTAGTTGTTAATGTGGAGGGAAAATAATTTAACAATACAAATTTACAGTGGAACATGAGTATATATATAATGATTTTTTTTTCTGTGATTTATATTAAGGAAAATAAACATTGCCTTTTGTCTTGATGGGAGTAGGGAGAAAAGTTATTATCTTTTCCTTTTTTACGGAAACAGTAAAGAAAATTTTTATTAATCAAACATAGATTTTTATAATATTTTTTAACTAAATCCAACAAAATCGAAAGGTATTAAATGTTTGAAAATTTCATAGTTTAGTAAACTTGGTATTGTGAGTAGAAAATCATATAGTGTGTATATATATATATATACTGTTAAATTCATTAACAATTTTGTTAATCCTGTTATTTGTCTTTCTTAAAATGATTAATATACCCAATTTAATACGCCTTTTTCATTGACGAAGACATAAAGATGTTACAATAATAATGATTTTTCATTTTAAAAAGAATGCAGTGAGAAAAACTATTTATAGTGCATTTAGTACCATCTAAATATTAAAAATAATATTTAATTTTAAAAAAAATCTAAAAGAGATAGCTCTTTTACTATTACACTCATCATAGCTTATCTCACTGTTTTATTGTGAATTGTTACGATGCATCCACTACATTATCTTATTATGTTGTGAATTATTACACTGCATTCACAATACTTTTTAAAAATTGTTAATGAGATATAAAAAAAAAAGGTTATTTTTGTCCTTGAGGTTCTTATATTTCATTGTATTGCTTGTAATTCTCAATTTTTATATTTTAATTTTAAAACTTTATTTTTCATCATATTTTAATCCTTATACATTGATGAAAGAGAAAGTTTTAAAATAAAGGAGAGGAGAGAGAAATTTTTTGATCAATCATTTTTTTATAATAAAATAATCAATTTAAGTGTTAATAAGATTTTTTTTTTAAAAAAAAGAAGAATTCAATGGAAGTGATTTGAACTTTTCATTATGATGAGAAAAACATATTGAAACCCCAAACTTTGTTTAAATTAAGTTTGATTTTGAGTTTGGGGTTTGAGTAGAGATTTTTGTTTAGAAGTTAAGAAGCTTTAAAAAAAAAGATTAAAATTTAAATTTAAATTATTAAACATTGATTTTTTTATTTGTTAGAGGTGATTAAAATTTGTTGTAGTATATGACATTTTATTTACTTATTTTTTTAAAAAAAAAAGTTCAAGTCAACAACGCGTTGTATGTCTAAATTAAAATAAATGTGTGGTATCGTCAATGGATTTAACTTGAAGATATGAATTCAATGATGTTGTTTGAATCTTTAATAATGAAGTGAAAAACATATTAAAAGCCACAAAGTTTGTTTATATTCCAAATGATTTTGAGTTTGAAGGCATTTAAAAAGTGTTTTGTAATTAAGAATAAGGTTATTGAGGTTTTTAAAGTGATTTTTTGAGGTGGATTTAAATGAGAAATTGGTTAAAATTTAAGGTTTAAATTATCAAATACTAATTTTTCAATAAATTAGAGGTGGTTATATTGTAGTGGATAATACGTCATATATTTATTTTTGAAAAAAAAAACAAGTTGACAATGTGTTGCATGCTTGAGTTAAAAAAGAAGAAGAAATGTGTAGGCCTGGACTCCAAGCAGGTGCGAAAGTGCGCTTGGGTTTTTTTTTTCTTTTTAAGACCAAACACGAGTAGGTTTTTATCTTTTTAAGACCGAACATGTTGGCTTTCTTGTCCAGGCAAGCCAACACTCATGAACTTGGTTTTGTTAGTTTTTTTTTAAAAAATAATTTTTAATTTTTTAAAATAAAATTCCTTTTCAAATAAAAAAATTACAACGATATTTTAAAAATCATATGATAATACCATCCTTTTTAAATAAGATTAAAGTGTGTGTATAGGAATAATAAACAAAGAAGTAAGTTTTAGTTAGAGAAATTATAAAAATTATCAATCAACATCATAACATCAATTAGATGTGCCAATTATGTATATTACAAAATTAAAAGCTAAAAAGGTTAAATAAATATTTAATGAGTTAATTTAAGATATTTAAGTCTTATTTTCTATAAGACTTCTAGGTTCTATTTGTTTTCCTACATACATGCAGATTGAATTTATTTTTTTAATGTGCATATTTATGTTAATAATCATAACTTTTGATTTGAATCTAGAATCAAACTAAAATTTTTCTAGATGATTCTAAAAGCCTTGTTTTTTTATAGAATTGACATTTCATAATGATCAAATACTAGAAAGGTTTTCTGATAAAGACTATAAAATCAATATCATAAAAGAATTATATTAGTTTCCTAGTTGATTTAGGATTTATTTTATTTTATTTAAAATTATTTTTATTATTTTTTCATTTTTTTAAGATATTTTACATAGTATAAATAAAGTTATTTAATTTATATTTAGATTTTAATTAATAAAAGATTCGATTATTATTAATTTTGCCATATCTTTTGTTTTTAAGTGAGAATTGCTTATATCTATTAGTTTTTATTAGACTATCTTAAACTTATCTAAAATCAACTATTTCCAAGGTGTTTTCTCTTCTACTTCTAGTTTGTGATTTCTTAAAATCATTGGGTTATATTTTTCATTTTAATAATTTTGGTGTCTTTCATAATTGGATTGTGGGTTCTCATCTTCCATGTTTACATCAAGAAACTTTGAAAAGATTGATAGGAAAAAAAAAAGTTTGCCAGGTGCAATTGTGACTTGACAATTTCTTCAAAAGGTTTTTTTTTTTTTTTTATATATATATATATATATATATATATCAAAGTCATTGTTTCCTACTTTTTTATGAAAATAATTCTAAATAGCACAAGCAATTAAATTAGTAGAAAACTAAGAGACATAATTTAAGATTTAGCAATTTCCTTTTTCCACAAATGGTACCAAAATAAGAAAAAAAAGGGTAAACTTTATTTTTGTCCAATAAACAAATCAACACCCCGCTTCTAATCTCGTAGTTTAAAATTTCCAATTTCCCCTTCTCGCTTTTTAAAAGTTACAAATTATGCCTAGCCCTGTTAAATAGACTACATTTTAATTATTTTTTGAGTTTTTTTTTAGGTTTTTATGTGCTTTTATGATATATTATAATATTGATGAGGATTGAAAGGGAATATTATAAAAAATAAAAAATAATAAATATTTTAACAAAAGTGGGTTTTTTGCTAGTTATTTAGTAATAAATGTGAAATTACAATTTGAAAAAAATATAGGAAACATTGAAAAATTATAAATTATAGGGATAGAAGTGAAACATTGATGAGTCTATTTTGATAGAAATATAGTTTATCCTAAGGAAAATATATTTAATGAGAAAATAAATTCTACCCATCTCTTTTTCTCTGTCTCGTTTGCTTCTATAATTAATTGTTTATGATTAAATTACTATAATCTCGTTTGTGTATTGTCGTAGTTATTATAATTATGTTTGTTTATATTAATTTCTAATAGGGATAACAATAGATCTCATGTCGATTAAAAAGACTTATCCCAAATATATATAATTTTTATAGCGTTTTTTTTCAACTTTGCATCAATTTTTTTTATTGATTGAAATTAAGATTAAAATTTCTATCCTAAAATTAAAATAAAAGGTAATAATTAAA